ATCTCCACGGGCTCTTCTGGCTCTCACTTTCTATGATGCTGTGACTTTAGGAGGTGGCATTTGATCTGGGCTTTGGAGGGTGGGGTGATTTTGACAGCCTGCCTTGTAAATGAGGGGAAAAGGTATTCCAGGTGGTAAAAACAGTTTCAGCAAAAACATAGTGGCCAGTAACTGTAGAAAGGATTCTGGGAATGGTACGTAACAGTCTGGTCTGACAAGGATAGAATTTAATCCTGTAGAAGACAGGAGAGGCAGGAGGAATCTGGCACTGAGCTGAGAAGGCCTTAAAAGTTATGCTTGGGAGCTGGGAGTTGTTCCCCCGGAACTGCAGAATTTGAAAAGCTCTTGGTCCTTTCTTTAGTATCCCTGTCCTGCAACAGGCCTCTCTCTATAGAAATAGTTCCAGTGACAGAGACATCTCTAGTCCATCTATCCCATGTTTAAATAGCTCTAAGTGTAAGAAAATTCCTCTGTAAATTGAATCAAAACTCACAGGTCCTACTTTTACCTTTTCCAAGGTGTAGATAATGATAGAGGAACACAGTCAAGGCCTCATGCAGCCCTGTGACTGTACACATATAATAGGTGCCCCAAAGGAATAGACGTTGTAAAAACTTTTAAAAAGCATTCCAGTCATGAAGTATGTATTGAGCACCCAGGTCAGTCACTGACCAAGAATCCAGTGATAAGACAGAGATCCTGCTCTCACATTCTTCCCAGACTCATGGGGTAGATTGTGACAAGGGCTCTGGTAGATCAGGTCAGGAGTACTTAATCTGTAGACAGAGGATATAAGGTCAGGAGTTGGGGGCAGGTAAGGATTCCTGGGAGTTGAGGAGCTGGCAGATGGACCAAGAAGGGAGAGCACTCCAGGGAAGGGGGGCTTGGAGATAGAAACATGAGTGAATGTAGCCTACTTAAGGAACAGAAAGCCATTCTATGGCATATGTGTGGTGTGTGTGTGTGAAATGGCTAGAAATGAGGTTGGTGGGTAGATGGCCTCATCACGAGGAGCTATAGCCATGCTAAGGATTTTAGATTATATCCTGAATTTGATGAGAAGCCAGTAATCTTAAAATAGTTGCCTCCTGCCCCTAGTTTATGGAACGTACGTATACTCTTTTTAAAAATATTAGAACATATGGAAAACTTGAAGGAAGAAATAAAAATAACCTTAATCTCACCAACCAGAAATAACCAGTTAAAACATTTTAGTTTATTTCTAACCAAATGTGTTTCTATGTGTAGGTACAGAAGAAAAGCATGATCTTATTGCAAAATATAGATTTTATTCTGCTTTTTCTAATGTAACATTGTATGCCCGCATTTCCCAGGCCATGCTGGTAAAAGCTTTTTGGGAACCTAACTTCTAGTGACTACATGTAGCACAAAAGATAGCTATATCTTATTATAACTGTCTCATAATGTGCTAAATTTTAAGTTGCTTGCATTTTTTTTTACTATTACAAATAATTTTGTGACAACAGCTTTATTTGTAAGGTTGTATTCACATCTGAATATTTCCTTGAGATAGGTCTAGCTCCATCAGTGGTTGCCTTTTAAGCAAGGGTGTGGTGGACTCATGCGTGTGTGTGTTTATAAGCTTTATGACAGCATGTGAAAGGTGGATTGGAAAGAGAATCTGGAGGCAAGCAGACAAGTACAGATGGTGTTTGAGCAATTTAGGCAAAGTGTGAGGGGATAAATTAAGTTTTGGCAGCAAAGTTAGAGGAAAAAGGAGATGGTAGTGATTCTTAAGGTGTTTGTATAAAGGAGCTTTCTATGAGTTTGATGAGCTCTATCAGCATTTTTACATATTACTTCAGGGGTGGCAGGGACCTCTTAACATGGGTATGGAGAAGAGGGTGACACGGGGTTACTGGTACTTTCCTCTGAGATAGGAAACACCAAGGAGGAAGAACAAGTTTGAAGGGTTGACCTGAGAAGAGGGAAATTATCAGCTCAGTATGAGGTATGTTACCTCTAAGGACACCGGGGTAAAACTGTCAGGAAGATGGTTTGTACAGTGATCTAAGAGATTAGAAGAGAGGTCAGAGCAGGATGTTAGTTTGTGGAAGCTATTCCCATAGAGAGGTGGTGCCGAGACCCTGGACATGACACCACTTGTAGAGAAGGATGGTATGATTAGAGAATGTGGAACATAACCTAAGAGATGACTCACCCCTGGGTTGCAGACAAGGGGAAGCCAAAGAAGGAGCTGTGAGATAAGAATGAAGGACACCAGAAAAGAATGGGTTAAGGAAGCCAAGAGGGCAGGAGTTGCAAGGAAAAAGTCATCCTACTGTCTAATGATGCAGAGGTCAAGCAAGAGAAGAGATGGGGGGTGTCCACAGGAGCAACTGAAGTCACCTATAAACAGGTGACAAGCAGATTCAGAACTGTGGGGAGGCTAGCCAGATTGTAGTGAAGCCATGATGAGTAAACGGAGCCAAGGGAGTATTGTTCATAGGTTTTTGTTTTTGTTTTTTTGTAAGATAGCTTGTTTGCAGGGTTGATGAGGACAATGGAGGGTTCACTTTTTCTTCTTGTTTATGTTAAATAAGAAAAGCTAAATTTCCTAATTGTTTTCAGCATTTGCTTTTGCCATGCTTAAAATCCTTTTGTTGGTGATTATTTTTCGGGCACAGTATACTCCGCCCAACCTTCCAGTGAAGGCACTGCTGTCCAAGTTCCTGGCATCTGACTTCAGGTTCTTTGGAACCAGCTGAGACCGCCATGTTTGTGCATGTGGACTCATTGGGTTTTAATAAGACTCAGTTATAACTAATATTTGGAATTGCAGTTTTAAAAATACAGAATACAACTCGTGTCCTTGAAGTTCGGTTGTTACCTGAAGAACTGTTCAAAAAATAAATGTTTAAAGGTTTCAGTTTAGAGAATGTCTTTCTTGTGTTGCCAAATGCTGAAAGACAGAGAGCTTTAATTCTAACAAGCTTTAATTAGAAAGAGAAAAAAAATCAAAGAGTGATGTCAACCAGAATCAAAATGAACCAGAACAAGAAATAGTTTTATTGATTACAGAACATCAACAATGTGTGCTATATAGTCTTATTCACTTCCTTAACAAGCAGGGAAAATACTTCAGACCTCTCTAGGGGGTTTGGACCTCCAGTCTTATTGAATGTATAATCACGTTGATAGGTGTAGGTCTGGTGCAGTGGCTCAGGCCTATAATCCCAGTACTTTGGGAAGCAGAGGCAAGAGGATTGCCTGAGTTCAGGGGTTCGAGAGGTGTTTTTTGTTGTAATATAATGCCCTTTGGAGCTGCAAAAATTTTTTTTTAAAGATATGCTAAATGATTCATGGCTTTAAAAAAACAAAACATTATGGTAAATGTTCCTGATGAAGGAGGAAGTAGATAGGTAATGCAGTGTACCACTGCTTTCTTGCTAGCAATGGATTAGCCTATTTATAAGTATTATTTCTCTCAGCATAATTACTTTAAAGATGTTGACATCAAAAACAGTTATCACTTTTTTAGAGATTATGATGTTAAAATAGAAAATAGTTATCTATATAGGGGATTAAATAGAGGCCAATATATATGCGACTTTGTTTTTTGAAGAACCTGATTACCTTTCTCTTAAGATGACATTTTACTTCACTTGAACATGATTTAACTCTGAAATTCTTGGTCCTTTCTTTCTCTTCACTCTCAAGTGACATTAATTTTTATGTATTTTAACTCCCTTTGGAACTGTCTCCCCCTCTCCCCCATCTATTGTAGAACCTTTGGCCCAATCCTTTAATCATCCTTTCACCACCCTAGTCAACTCTCTTGCTCCTTGACTTTTATTGAGCCTAATTCAGTTGGCATCTTGCTACTTTATCTGGACTGCTGACCACTTCTAGGTAAAACTTGATGACCATGCCATCGTAACTTCTGTAAATTCATGGTCTCTAATTTGTTAGGCTCTCAAGATGGCCTTAACAACTCTTCGTCTTCTAAGCAGTTTTCCCCTTTGTGACTCTTTTACACTCTCACCTTGTCTTTAAATTTTTTCCTGCAACCTGTTCCGTTGTCTCAGAACATGATCTTGACTCCTGTTTTATTGAGGCATGAGGCAGAAACTTGTGAGCTTCCTTCCTGCTTTACTACCATCCCTGTCACTACCCACCCATTTTCTCTTAACCCATATCATCACCTTTTAGCTATTTTTTTACTTTTCTCCCTTAACAGTGCCACTACGCTTTAGAAGGATGGTGCCCTCTTGCTTACCTTTTTGCTCTCTGGCTTCCATCCAAATTGCTCTTGACAAGATAACCAGTGACCTAACTAATAAGCCTGTAGATATTTTTCAATCTTTTACCCTGTTTGGTCTCTCCATGGCATTTTATCATTATTGAGCATCTTTTCAACTTTTGTGAAAATGTTCTCTTTTGGATTTTATGTACCTTATTAGAAAATAAAAGAAGCATTTAATGATTTACAAAATAATAATTGGTGTGAAATCTTTTTTTTTTTGAGTTGGAGTCTCACTCTATCACCCAGACTGGAGTGCAGTGGCCGTTCCCGGCCACCACAGCCTCGACTGCCGGGCTCCGGCGATCCTTCTGACTCAACCTTCCAAGTAGCTGGAATTACAGGCGCACACAACCACGCCCGGCTATTTTTTTTTATTTATTGTAGAGATGAGGTCTTACCAAGTTGCCCAGGCGGGTCTTGAACCCGCGGGCTCAGGCAATTCACTCACCTCAGCCTCCCAAAGCACAGGCTTACAGGCTGAGCCACTGAGCCCGGTGTGAAATCTTTTAATATAATATTAATAATACGTCTAAGAATTTTAGACATTTGTATAAATATAATTCAGTATTATACTTTTAAACTAGGAATATATTTATATCTTAAAATACTTGACTGTAGTAATCATTTAACCATGTATATGTATATCAAAACATGTTATGTACCTTAAATATATACAACAAAAATATAGGAAATACGTAATACATTAATTATTCCTTGGTTTCTTCTTTCCTAGTTAATGAAGGAGTTCCCCCTTCTGAGCATGTTCAATATCCATGAAAACCTTTTAGAAGCGCTTCTGGAACTCCAAGCATATGCTGATGTTCAGGCAGTCTTAGCAAAGTACGATGGTAAGTCCTTGGGTGTTTTTATTTACTTGAGTATTCCTCTCTTCTTGATACGTTCATGTGATTCGATTGAAAGGATCATTTCAAGTAGCACAGCACTTTGATAACCATCCTCTTATAGAATTTTCACCTACAGTTTCATGAAGATGTTTGATGAAATCTTAGAATTTCATGGTTTTCAAGGGCCAGAAACATGATGTAGCATGTGCTCCATTTCCCTCCTTCCCTCCCATCACAGTGTCCTTGTCAGGCAGTTGTGTATGCTCTACTCTGTTACCTCTGAGGCCCATAATCACTCAGAACCTCACAGGCAGCCCCTATCCTGATGGGATAGCAGTGACTATTAGAGCTCTTGTTATGACCCCATATCGGTTCACTGTGTCCACTGCCTGTTGGTCATGCTGACCCTTTGGAGCAACATAGAAAAACTAGTATCCCTTGCAAATGTGACAGCTCAATAAATATTTGAAGATAAAATCATGCCCCCTTAATCCTAGGTCTTCTCATTACAGAATATTCCCATTTCTCTATGTGATGGACTTTGAAGTCTCTTTGTTAATCCAGTTACTCGTCCATGAACTTGTTCCATTTTGGCTATTCCTAATAAACCAGAACAATAAACTCGCACATCCTTAAGATTTAAAAACGCTTCTTCTGTTCATGTTGTCATTTTTCATTAGTTCAAAATTTGCTTAGCCGTATAAAAATTGTTCACAGAGTTACCTGCCATGACATAGCTACTAGAATCTCTGCAGAACTCTTATTTCAATAACTCTTCCTAAAATAACAGTTTCAGCTTATAAAATGAATATTAGGGAGTGATTACTTATATTACATAATCATTTTTTCTTTATAAAATAATCTTTATATCCTATTTAAAGAAATTATTCAGATAACAAATTTCCAGAATTCATCATACGTATAAACTATACCATTTGGGTCTAACTTTTGACATACAGTTCTTCATAAGGAATCTCTGAAGTGGGTTGGAGTTGTTATTCCCTATAGTTGAGGGAACTGAGGCATTGTGAGACTGATTTTGTTTTTGTTTTGTTTTCCTCAAATTCTTGTTTAAATTGATGGAAACTAAAAGCCCTCAGCCAGTGATGGCATCACTTTGCCTGTGCAGAAATGAGCACCCTGTGTAACAAGATATGCTACCTAGTATGGAACTGATTTTAAAAAGAGAGAACAGTATTTGTGGGGCACTTTAAAGTAAACAAAATAAAGACTGTTTGGCTTTCACATCAGCTCACTTGTATTCTCTGTTTAAATGCTGAAATCTCACTATTCAACTGAACAGTGGTCTAAGCTTGGAGATGTAAGCCATGAGGCTGCCTTGTAAACAAAATGCTCTTACATTAGCATTCTTTTAGGACCAGAGGAACCCAGTCCATGCCCACAGATTCAGATGGCAGTGCACTTTATCTGCTACCAATACCATAGCAAGGTTCCAGTCTTCTCATCCCCAGTGCTAACCTTTACTCAATCTGATATATCAAGGCTTAAGAAATGACTTTTTAATCAGTAGAGCATTTGGGATCATAAGCCTCATAATGCTCCTTTCATGAAGGTCTCAGTTCGTTACAGAAATCATCAGCCTTGTATTATAAGACTGATTATAAAATAAAAAAATGAACTTATTTCAAGCTTTCCATTGTCTGTGTCTATCCCACTGCACAGCCTCTGTTCCTCAACAACCAAAAGCTGATTTATTAGATTCTGATAACATATGTTCACATTATTTGTTACAACAGCCTGTCCCACCCTCCACTAAAACTTGGCACACACTTCGAAAAATTCCTTTGTTGCAAATGGACAAACTCACCATACCAAGGCCCTTGTGTTGAGTTTGTTTATGTTGTATACCTGGCAACAGAGATGATGATCTTGTTCATTATTCATGGAAAAAAAGCCTCATTAGTGGCAGGACACATACTGTTGCTGAGATGCCTCGTTAGGGGTTTGGAGTAAAGCAGTTGTCAATAGAGTGCAGATGACCTAACCCCGACTAAATTCTGAAGGGAGTTTTGTCGCTGACTTGGCTCAGGCTTGTATCATTTACAGTAGAAATATAATGAAGTGGCTGCTGAAGTTACTGTTCTTGAGGGCTAAGCTGCAACCACTCAAGATTGTTGAAAAATATGCCTCTTGTTCCTCACCACGTACCATGAAATGGGTTCTTTCAGGTTCAGCCCTGCTGCCTTTCTGGGAGACCTCAGCTGCACTACCAACTCCTTTTCTGACCCTGGGCAAGGAAATGGGTGCTTTAGATGTCTTGGAGGACAGACAGCTTTTAGGGGCACCCTGTTCTTGACCCTGGGTCAGATGTCATCATTCTAGCCCATGAGATGCTGGAGACAGCACTTTGAATCCCAGCTCCTCCATCCTTCTCTGTAGAGCCACACCCAAAGGAGCAGGATTAGATGTTATCTTTGCTAATTGGAATGCTCTGGTTGGGTAGCTGTTTCTTGGACAGTTTATGAGACAGCAATCCTTCTTTATTACATTTGCTAGGTGGCTGAATTTTGTAAGTAGCATGTTGGGAAGTGACACAATGGGATTACTCCTGCTTCTCTGACCTTTGCAGAAAAGGATTTAGAAAAATGGCAGGCATTGGGGGAGGGGAAGAACACCTTTGCGGGGAAATGAGGAAGGCAAAATGTGTTTCCCACGCCCCATTTTTCTTATTCACCATTTTTTTAAAAAGTTTTCATTTTGCTTTTAAAATCAGTGACATTCACAAACACTTGGGTCCCTATAAGGATTACCAGTTATTTGGTCACTCCTATTTATAATCTGCAGTCTCATTTTGATTTTGCCATTCGGCTAACTTCTCATGTTTTATTATCTCAGCCATTAGCCCGAAACTGTCTTGCTGTCCTCAGGAGTTTTCATACTCTTTTCTTTTCTTTTCTTTTCTTTCTTTCTTTCTTTCTTTCTTTCTTTCTTTCTTTCTTTCTTTCTTTCTTTCTTTCTTTCTTTCTTTCAGACAGGGTCATTCTTGCTGTCACCCAGGCTAAAGTGCAGTGGCACAATCATAGCTCACTGCAGCCTCGAATTCCTGGGCTCAAGTGATCCCTCCACCTTAGCCTCCCAAGTAGCTAGGACTGCAGGTTCATGCTACCACATCTGGCTAATTTTTTTTTAATGGAAATGGGGTTCTCACTATATTGCTCAGGTTGGTCTTGAACTCCTGGCCTCAAGCGATCCTCTCACCCGGGCTTCACAAAGTATTGTGATTACAGGCATGAGCCACCACAGCTGACCTGTTTCAATTTGTTAATCAATATTAGAGTGGGCAATTTGTATACAGATGCTTGGTCCTGGTTCTGTAATTTCTTTACACAATGACTAAAATAGCAGCAGCAACAACAGCTAGCATTCATTGAGTTCATATAATGTATCAGTGGCAGATATGATTATCACCACAGGCGTATTTGGTAGATACTCTTGTTAGCTCCATTTTGCAGCTGTGGCAACTGGTGCAAAAGAAGTAAATTTCTCACAGGAAGAGCCTTTAATTAAAAATAAGGCCATATAGATGCTATGTTATGAGAAAAAAGTGATCAAAGAACAATTTTGTGAAATATGATGTGAATTCTACAAGGAAAGGAAATCTAGGATAAAAACCGAGGTGGTCTGACTCCAGGCCTGTGCTTTTAACCACCACACTTACATTCTCTCTGCTACTGGCAGTATTTATTTAAATTGTTTTTATTAATACCATTGTTCTTGTTATTATAAGCCACAATTTATTGATAACCCATTAAAAATTCCAAGCATGTAATATACATTAGCTATACCCTCACAGCCCTGCAAGGAGGTGGTTATTTTGTTTTAGCAGAGGCTGAAACTGAGGCTTTGTGAGTTTAAGTAACTTGAAAGATCACATTCTTAGAAAACTGCAAAGCTGGGATTCAAATCCAGGTCCAACTGGCTCTACAGCTCATGTGTTTTCCATAAAGGTAAGCCTTGCTACGTGATGTGTGCCTCTCTCATTCTTCTTACAAAGGCCTGAATTAGGTGGACTGGAATCATGGTGCAGAAGTGCAGTGATGCCAAATTGTCTTTTTCCTTTCTAGTCATTCTTTAAGAGCTGAGTATGTCTATATTTGCTTGTCTTTCTGAAAGTATCTTCAAAATATGGCTTTTCATCTTCAATCAACTTGTACCTGATTTCTTTCATCACACAGGGAAATTGATGTAAAGTGTTCATTTGATTTGAGATTTGCCATCTTTTTGTTTTTCAGTCATACGTTTGCTATTAAGACCATTAGTCATAAGAACCTTCTTTTAGATGCCATTGTAGAAGTTGTTACAAGCATTGGATTGCCTTTCAAATAAGTTTATAGGCCACCTAGGTTGAAAACTTAAGCCTGAAAGATGAGGGTGGTAATGTGGGAAAAGAGTTCATGTGTTTCTTATTCATTATCATTTGTGCATTTCACTTTTAGAAGAATCTCATAGAGCAAGTGAATGTGAATCTGAGTGCTGTAAGGTACCTTTGGGAGTGTCTGGTTCTGCTTGTCTGTAGTTCATGACCCTTGGGGATACCAAAAGGCAGTCATAGGTGGCAGGGAAGAGGTGGGTCAGCTCCCAGTACTGTCTTTCACTGGCTGAGTGAAATTGAGCAAATTACTTAACCTTCGAAGCCTTGGTTTCTTTCTTTGGAAATTGAATCAAGGCCTTAGAGAGGCTAAGTAACTTGCCCAAGATCACACAGCTGGTAATTTGTTGTGAAGATTAAAGTAGTTTAATCAATTTAAGTGCTTAGAACAGTATGGGACTAACTGTAAGAGTTCAGATACTATTAGCTAATATAAAGAATTATTGCCACTCTTGAACTTCACCACTGTTCTCCATCTATCTTGTTCAAATGGAAAACCATATATAAAATGTCATTTGAAATGAGAGGATAAGAACCCAGTCTGTGTCCCCTGCAAAGACAGTGTTAAGGCATGTTATTAAAATTAATTATGGATCTAATAGGACATATGGAT